AGAACATCACGGGGATTTTTCCAAAAGTGTCGCTACGCGATCGCTTGCAGAGGGCGGGACGATGAGGGCGGGAGGGGAGAGGGAGCCGGAGGTTGGCGGTGGTGGCGGGCCGGCCCGGGCCCGGTGAGCCGGCCGGGGCCTGAAGAGCCGCCCCGGCGAAGGGCCCCCTCGGCCGGTTCGCCGGGCGCGACACCGGGCCCGGGGGGGCGGAAGGGGGCATCGGGAGTCGCTCAGACCCACGCACGCACACCCCCGCGCGCACAGCCCTCCGGCCGTTTGCCTTGCGTGCTGCACAGGGCCTCCGCCGTGCCGAGGAGAGCCGGGCGCAGGGGGTTTGTGTGCTGGCTGGGAGCATCGGCGCACCACCAAACCCCCTGGCGCATGCGATACCCCGGCGGCGCCGGCACACCGGGCGAGAGGCGGCCCGGCCGCCACCGCGCCCCGGAGGCCGGGGGCACGGGCGTGCTGGCGCCGCAGGGCCCGCCCGCCAATCGGCCCGCCCCCTCGTGGCCGAGCGGCTCGCCCTCGATCGACGGCCGGCCGGCCGGGCAGCCGCTCCTGCCCGGCCTGCGCCGAGCGGGCCACGCCTCGGAACCGGGGGGGGGGGGGGCGTGGGATCTCATTCAGGGGGCCCACCCGACAAGCGGGCCCGGCAACCGCGGGCGCAACCAACAGCCAGCGGCACGCGGCTCTCCCGGCCAGCCCGGGAAGCCGGAGACGCAGGCGGCCATGTTGGGGGGACGGGTCGGGCCCGGGCGAACGAGGGAAATGGGCATTCTGGACATGGAGAACCCGGGCCGCGCTCCCGGGCACATGGCCTGGTGCCATTTCGCGCGGTGGGACGCCCGCCCGGCGGGGGCCGGGCCGACCGGCGGGAGATGCCTCCCCGTGCCCCGGCGAGCGTGCGGCTCTCCCCCGGGGCAGCCGGCCTCCCGTGGGGCCCGGGAGCGCGCCCCGCAGCCGATAGGCGGGCCACCCGGAATGATGGCCATCAGCCAGTCGAGAGGCGAGAGGTGAGAGGGCCGGCGGGGCTCGCGAGCCCGGAGGGGCCGCTGCCGAGGCCCGGCCCGGAGAGGGGGGGGGGGAGCCATCGGCGCCCGGCCAGCATGCGAGGCCGTGCTTGCGGGGACTCCCGCGCGCGGGGGGGGGGGGGGGGGGGGGGGGGGGGGGGGGCCGGCCGGCCACAGGAAGCTGGCGAGCGGAGACCCGCACATGTGTCCCTCGCCCTCCAGCGCCGGGCGTCGTCAGCGAGGAGGCCGGGGAACTGAAGGGGCCGCCGGTGAGGGAAGCCTCGGCGCATGTGCCTGCCGGGTGGCAGTCGCCCGCAGGCCCCCCCGGATCCGGGGGTGGGGCGGGGCACGCGCCGCGGCGCGTCGGGTTCCGGCGCGGCACGCCGGTCCCGGGGCCGCCAGCCGTCTTGGCCCCCGGCTTACCCGAACGGGCAAGGGCCGCCGGGGCGGAGGGCTCGCCGGGCCGAGAGGCATGCGACCCCGAGAGGCAGGCCAGCGGCGCAGGCAGTCAACCAGGCTGGGGCCCGCCCGGTTGCGGTCATGCCGGCAGTGGCCCGGTGGTGCGGACCGTGCGCGCGGGATGCGATTCTGGCCGGGCCGACCGCGGTGGGCCGCCGGCGCCCCCCCCCCCCCCCCCCCCCGGCCGGAGCTGTCGGCCCCATGGTCGGTGGCCGGCAGGGCACTGGGCCGAGCATGCCGCCCCGCAGGACGTGGCGACACGGGAGCGAGGCCGCCGCCAGCCGGGGGCCGGGGAGGCCCAGCCAGACGCGCGGCGCGGGGACGGGCGGTGCCGCGGCTCGAGCCGGCCCTCACGTCCCGGGGCCGGAGGCTCGATGTCGCCCCTGGCGGCCGTGGGCCGTTTGCGGAAATGCCCGCTCCGGCCCCGGGACCGGGGCGCGCCCCGCAGACCCTCCAGCCGGGAATGATATATTGGCCGGGAATAAAAAAAGAAAGCCCAGTATTGTTGTTCCTCCCTCGGGCCGATCGGCCGTCGGGAGGGCGGCAGCTCGCATGGCGCTCTCCGCCCGCCAGCCCGGGCACACTTCATTGGCAGTTGATTTCGTCCCGCGCGATTGTTCGGCTGGGGGCAGCCGGTGTGCACATGCTGGCCTGCCGATGGGCGATGTCCCCGGCCGCCGAGAGGCAGCCGCTCGTCGGAGCATGCCGCGCCGGATGGCCGCGCGCCGGTGGATTCGTCGCAGCACCACCGGGCCGGGGGCCCACTCCCGCCACGCCCGGCCATCCGGCCCAGCCCGGAGGGCAGGCGGCCGTCGCGCGAGGAGCACGGCCACGGTGGCCGGCCGACGGTCCGCCAGCGGCCCGAGCCACGGAGCGCGGCTGGCCCGGCGCCGCGAGCTGGGGCACCTTCAGGGATTGCCCAGGCGGCTGACCCTGCCGCCCGGGCCGGAGGAAGCCCGCGCACGGGTGCCAGCCCGCCGCCCCGCACCGGCCGGCCGGGGCACATGTCGCTCGGCGCCCGGGCCGACGCTTGGCCGTCTGTGCACCGGCGCCATGGGGCCCCGAGTCCCGGCGCGGCCTGCGGCCGAGCGGGCGCGCGGCGCAGTGGCCGCCGCCGCGGTCCATGGCACGGCCCGTGGCTATGGGGCCACTTGTGCGGCCAGGCCGGCGGCGGTATGGGCCAGGCGTGGGGCCCGGCGCTTCGGCTGCAGGCGCGCACCCCCCCTGGCCTTCGTGGGCCCTGCCCGGCACGGCCGACCGAGAGGCGGGCCCCGCTCGAGCGCCGGGCTGGCCATTGCCCCGGCGCGGCCACGGTGGGGCATGGTCAGCGTGGCGGACGGCTCGCTGCCAGGTGCCGGGTGATGGCCATGACGCGGCGGGCCGGCACCGGGGCCGGGGGCAGTCGGGCAGGCCTCGCGGCCCGGTTTCCAGGAGCGCGCAGCATGACAAGCAGCGCCCCTTGGCCAGGAGGGCGGCGCTCGAGGCACGGCCTGGCGCCGGCCGGCCGGCCGGCACACATCCATGAATGCGCGCGTGCGGCCCCCGGCCCGGGGGGAACGCACGGCGCGGATGGGGTCGGGCATGGGTCCCGCTCGAGGGCGGGTGTGCCCAGCCAAAGAGGCCGGCGCCCGGGGGGGGGGGGCGGCTCGAGCGGAAGGGCTGCGCGTGCCGTGACGGGGGCGCCTGGCGGCCACCGGGGGCGTGCCGCTGCTCGGGCACACGCCGGTCTTCAGAACGGGCTGCCCGTTCTGGAGGGCCCGAAACACGTGCGAGCCATTGTGGGGAGTTCTCGATGGCCATGGCGTCTCGGCCGCATCGTGTGCGCGGGGCGACACGGCGCCATTAGCCCTCAATGGCCTGCCGCCTTAACTGGGAGGACTTGTTCGCGGGGCTCCGCGCCCGGCCCGGCCCGTCGGTTGGGTGTAGCCTCTTCGGCGGCCGGAGCGGAGGGCTCGGTGGCAAGGCGCCGGCCGTGGCGCGGGTCGCCGGGATGCATGGCGGCGGGGGCTCCCGCGGCCCTGGCCAGACGGGCGCGCCTCGCCGGCGGCCGACCTGTGGCCTCGGGTCGGCAATGGGCAGCGGCGGCAGGCGCCCCGGCCCGTGGAATCCGCCCTTGCTCGGCCCCAGGCGGCCTCGGTGCATGGGCGCGCGCCCCCGATCGGATGCCGGGGTCTTGCCGAGGGGGCACTGGCCCCGGCCGTGGACGGGACGGCCGCGGCAGCCGAGCGCCTCCTAGCACCGCCACCCACCGACCGCCAGAGCGGCCATGACCCGGCGGGCAGACCGTGCCAAGGCATGGCAGCCCTTGCCGGGGCGGCGCCGCCGCCGCCGCCGCCCGAAGGCACCCGCTGCCAAGGGAGCCCCGCCCTCGGGAGGGGCGCCAGGCCCGCATGTCACGGCCCTGGGCGGGATATGCCCCACGGTGTCGGGGGCCCTTCCCCCGGCCAGGCCGCCCGGTGCCCGGCTCGGCCGACTGCCTGCCCAGCGGGCCTGCCCCGAGGAGCGGGCCCGGGCCGGGGCCCCTCTGGCGCGTGGTGGGCCACAGCTCGACAGTGCATGAGCGAGGACGCGGCCCGCCCGGCGAGGGGCACGCTTCGTTGCGCCGGCCGTCCGGCGACGCTCTGGCGCCGCGTGCTCGGCCTGCCAGCGCCGGCCCTGCGCCATGCCACCCAGGGTCCGCGGCGTGGAAAGGAAGTCGACGACCAAAGGGTACGCGCGCGGAGGGCGAATACGCCGGCGATGGGCAGGGCCCAGGCCCGGGGCGAGCGCGCGGGGGAGAATCCGCACGCCGGGCCGAGGCGCACACCGGCCCCGGGCACTGGCCCCCGGGCAGGCGGTGGCAAGGTGGTTTGGAACGGGGCAACGAGCATACGGCCAGCGGCGATGGTCCGCGGGGTCGGCTACTGAAGTGTCACATGAGGACCGGCATGGACCGATGGCCTGCGTGTGATCCTTGGGCCGTGTGACGGGCGCCCGAGAGATGGGACCCGTGGGCGGGGGGGCTCTGGGCGCCTGCAACTGCCCTCGCGTACGCCTTGTGTTGTTACCATCCCCTGCCAGAGGAGGGGACGCCGTGAGGGCCGATCCCACGGCACCGTGGGGGCGGCGGGGCGGGCCTCTGCGCGTTTAAGTGTGGGGCGAGGCGTCGGGCTGGCCCGGAGGGCGGGGGGGGGTGTGTTTATTTTTTCTCCCCCGCCTGTGGGAGATGCGGGTGTCTCACAGGTGGTTGGGACCGGCTCGGGAGGCAGCCAGAGGAGGCGGCGGGGTGGGACCAACACCGGGGGGCCGGGGTTCAGGCGGGGCACGAGCAAACAGCGCATCGCTGGCCATCGGCGGGGCATCTCGCACGGCTTTCGAGGGGGAGAGAAGGAGCCCCTTGCGCCTGCGTGCGGGCGGCGAGCCGAGCCCCGGTGCGGGCGCGCTGGATCCCCTGCCATGGCCCGGGGAGGCGACGACCCTGGCCGGCGGAGGGGGTGGGGAATTCGGCCATACCTACTGCCGCCCCCTATAGATGGGTCGGGAGAGTGTGCGTGCGCTGGCCAATCCGCCACCGGGCCAGTGACCTCCCGCCCGCACGGGCGAGCGGGTCTGACCGCTCCAGGGGCCTAGTCCCAGTTGGGCATTTTGCCCCTCCCGCAGAAGGGGGGGTCATATTGCGGGCCGGAGTCCCGGTCTCGGCTGCCCTTTTTTTGATGTGTCCGGGGACGACTCCTCGCCGGGGCGGGGGTTGGTGGGGAACCCTCGCACGAGTCCTATGGCCGCCTGCACCATCGGTCTCGCTGGAGCATCTCTTTCCAAGGCGGGTGAGCAGGCATAGCCTGACCCGGTGCCTATGTGTGTGTGTGTGTGTGTGTGTGTGTGTGTGTGTGTGTGTGTGTGTGTGTGTGTG